GTCAGAATGCACACAGTACATGAACCAGGGAAAGGATACCTTTAGCACTCCGCATTCTTACAAAAATTTTCGTGAAAACATTCGTGCCTTTCGGAAGAGCTTTAAAGCCACTCGAATACGATTACATACAATACTGAAGTACAAAGGTGGCCGGATAATTAAGATGGGAAAATATTTAACGAAATGAATTCACTGATTGCGAAAGGGAAAAATTATTTCAACGGGAAAATCACATCAACATTAAAGTACTTTAAGCTGACGGAGTAATTGTTTCAGCCGGTGGAAAATACGCTGCTTACAGACAGACAACAAAATAATTAGGTTTGGTTTCGATTTCGATTTCAAATTCACAAAACCATAAACGGCAGGAATTTCCCATCAGCGTTTTGCATTTTATACGCGTAGAATCCTTAAACCGACATTATTCAAACGACAAAATCTCTGCAGCTGTCTGAGCCAAGCTGATGCTGTGCTGGTGTTCTTTATTTTATTTTTCCTTCGCCCAGGTACACGTGTCAAACTAATTTCACATTTTGTTGCCTTTTATTCGCTGGCGCATTTGTGTCACCTGCCGAGCTGCACCACTCCCATTTTATCCCGCCCCCACAATGCTGTTGGCGCATTGAAATTCATAAAATATTTGCACAGCGAAATAGGCTACGAAGGCTGAGACTCCGGGCGGAGTATTATGTGTCAAGCACGTTTGAATTCAAATTCAAATATTTGCCAGAGTCGACAAACAAATAAGCGCAAATATGGTAAACAGCAATAAGCAGCTATGGCGAAAGCTGAGCGAGCTGAAGCGAACTCGTGTACGCCGGATTTGCATCCGTGTGTGGGGAGCGTAATACCTGTTCATGCAAAAATCTTCAGCACCCGAATATAATGCTGTCACCTTGGCAGTCATCTGAGCTGTTTGTTGTCTCAACGTATCTCGGTCTTAATTTCATTCGCATTGGTGAATATTCAATGGCCGGCCAGAAAGCTCTTCACGTGCAAGGCCGACAGGATGAAAAGAATCGGCTTAAAAGCTCGACATGTCCTTGGCCTCGAAACGACGAGGACAATTGATGAAAACACTGAACCGGCAACTCCTAAGTCGGCTAATCCTGTCTGCCTAAATTGCCTTTTTGTTGTAAAAGAAAGAATATATCTCAGGCTAAGTAATTATGAATATACAGAAAAGTCATTTTTAACTTTTAAGTAAAGTTATATTGTGGCTCTTACAAAAAACCTTTTAAAATACATATTTTTAGTAAATTTTCATTCTAACAAATGTATTTTAATATTTTATTTTAAATTAATGTACTATTTTGTTAAGGAGTTAGTAAAAATATTAATCTTAAGCAGAGCTAAATCTCTTTAAGAAAGTCGGGGCAACCAAGAAAAAGAAAGGGACAACGAAGCGACAACTTGTCAATGAATCGATTATGATTTGTGGCGAAAGTATAGCACACTCATACGCGCTGCCTACACAACTTTCAGCTGGGAATATATTTCAGCGCGAATTTGCACATTCGCAGAGCCAAAGAATGCGCTGAGGGACAATAAATCTTCGATTGTTTGCCCCAAAGAGACCAAAGGATGTGTCCTTGCGTGGGTGTGGCTGGATGTAAGCCCTGAAGCTGGGTATGGCCCACTGCCGCCATTCGTTTTGGCCATTTTGCCATTTTGCGTTTTGCTCGCCACATTTGCTGGCCTAATTGCGCTGTCTGCCAGCCAGCCAGCGAAATAAAAAGCGAAGAGCGAATCGCAAACAGGCAAACAGAGAGCTGTCATTACGCTTCAAATCCCCACCGAGTCCCAACTTCTTTGATAATTGTCCCAGTGACCTTTTCGAGGCAAATATGCGATCGAACAACCAGCTCCCAGAGCTCCCAGTTGATATCAATGAACTTCGCCCTCGGCCCGCTTAACCTTGCCAATTATAGTGAAAAATAGAGCCAAACATTCCGACGTCTGCGATGGGTGAGAAAAATAAAAAGAAACCATGCGAATTCGGCAATAAATAGCTATGGCCATTGAGAAAATATATTTTTAGTTGTCTCGGTCAGTTGCGAGGTCCTGTCCGATTTGGAGCTAGAAGTCCGGCGACTGCAGGCGACTTCGACTCGCTGCCAAGACAAGATAAATGATGTTTCCAAACTAACTCACACGTACACTGGTGGCTAAGATAGTAGTCAGAAAATGTGAAATATCTATTTGTCTGTTCAAAAAATAGAAATACAATAAACTCGAGAGATTCAATAATACAGGATCATAAAACTGCGAGAAAATCAAAACGAGGTTTTGTGCAGGATCTAGTTTTCTTTTACTTTGGGTTAAGTTCTTGTTATTTTGACCTCATCTGTACGTGTTGTTATCACTTAGCTGGCCATGTTAGCTGCCATCTCAGTGGCTTTTTGCAATTGTCTGGCTGGGGATTGTCAAGACTTTTGACTTTTCTCGTTTTTTCTCCAACTTTTCTTACTCATTTTTTGGGTCCATCTCTCATAATGATTTCGTTGTGAAAAATGCAATTATTTTTGATTGTAGTTTAAGGTGCCATGTTTGCATCGCTCGCCAAATGCCGCACATTTATCACACTTGCGGGGGGACATTTTTGCAAGTCAACGGAGAGAAAGCGACATGGAATTTATTGAGCCAGTCTGGGGCCATATATCAGGCGCAGCATTTGTCAGGGAGTGTCAATGGCTCTAAACTGAATTGAACTTTGTTCTTATTGATTTTCCAAACAGTATTCCTCGCTCTCTGTTTCCGTTTTGTGTGTGTGATGCGTGCTGTAATTTTGGCAATTTTAATGCCATTAAAAGCAGCCTAGCATCAAAAAGTTGCAAATGATGTGCGAAGGATGGAATTGTTCGTATTTATGCAATTTGTGGCAGCTGCTCGAACAACCGCAGCTACAAGACTCATGTAGCGCCCCCACACACACATTCTCACCCGTGGAACACCACACAAACAACCACAACAACAATTACAACAAGAGCGCTCTGGAATTTTCAATTAAATTGCAAAATCAATTTTCAGCAAATTAGCATATTTATATTTGCATATTTTTAATGGGCTAACGAAAAAGGAGCGCAGGTCACAACAGGTGTGAAAAGGGAAATTGTGCCAAATTAAAATCAGATAACACGGAATGACTTACATTAGAGGAGCGGCACATATGAGCCAAAAGGTTGGGGCCCAGTCGTCACCGACATCTGTGCCAGAGGCGCGTGTCTGATGTTCGGCAAATCAGCATTCGAATTGCGCATATGAGGCCGGAGTTATCCAACTTGTGAGCGACTTCAAACCGCTCACTGCTCACCACACACACCGCACACCCAATTCCCGCGAACTCAAAGTCAGCAGTCCTTGCGGCCACGTGCAGGATACTTAGAAATGCCACTGCCTATGGCATATCATAACCATATAGACGCCAAGTATTCCGATAATTACATTTAGCAACTGCTGCCTAAGAGTAAATCCGATTGGGTAGATCGAGGTGTATTCGGAAAACGAATGAGTTGTATAAAGCATTTCGGAAGCTTCTTTAAGAAGCTGCTGTCACAATTGGAAATAAAATTACACATTCATATCCTTAACCAGAAACGTTATTCTTTAATCTCATTTACATTTTGATTAAATGGTATTATATTTGTACTGAAAAATTTTCTAATCTCTTAGTTTAGTTTATTGTTATTAAAGCTTCATCTTTTAGCTTAATCTTTCGTGAGACCTTAAAACTTTTGCGGCAACCCCAGTTCAGCATCTCCTAGTCGCACATATATTTTAATTTATTTATACACGTTTTTACCCCCGAACGGCGAAATGGCTCCCCCTCAACTCATGCACATGTGTGGCCACAATTTCGGTATACAAATTACAAAATTATACAAATCAACGCCGCACAATTGCTTCAATTGAACCCAGAGCAGAAACCCTAGCTGCCTGAAGAGCTCCTCATACAGCCAGAAATTCCTGCCTTTGACGATGATGGTGTGGCTGGCAGAGATTAGAGTCCCTCCAGACGAACAATCAAAGACAAAGCGCCCTCGACACCTGTGCAAAATTATGAAGCCCACTTGCCGACAAGGGGAAGAACAGGGAAAGAGTCGCGGTTAGGATCAATCGCTGGGGGTGGTTTGGGTTTTTGGGTGTTTAAGGGCGAGGCAATTAAGTCATTACTTCATACAAACACATACTGGCACTGCCACTGCTACTGCTACTGCTTTTGCCACTGCTACTGCTGCTGCCACTGCCACCGAAGGCCTTCGTTCTGCAGGTGTTTTACAAGTGTGCAAACAAAGTGCCGCGGTGGTTGCATAAAAACCAGCAAAGCGGATGTAAGAGTCTGCCTTCATATGCGTGTTTGTATGTACATTTCCCCGTTTGTTTGCCATCGCGCCTGTCTTCCCGACTCCGCATTTCGTTGTGGTTGCAATAAAGGCATGCAAATTTATGTGCGGCCCCGCCCTCTCCGACTGCCACGCCCCCTTCCCTTCTGCCATATTTTTGATAAGCAATTTTCATCGCCCCCAGAAGTGCGCGAGTATGAGTTGTGTGTGCATAAGTGGAGTGGTGGTGGTGGTGGTGGTGAAATGAAATTAACAAATCATTTCACTTATGGGCACTGGGGCATCTGCTTCCACTTAGCTCCGCCATCACTTTGATGCTAATTTGAATGGGAAATGTGTCATTTCGGGTGATTACAAAAGGATCTTATCGGCGCGAAAGCAGCCTCAGTTGGGGAAGGGAAATTGAAACATATTTCCTGCAAGTAGAAGTCACAACAAGTTCAAATTTTTTTATTAAAATCCAGCCTTAATGCTGATTAACTAATCTAAATGGGTGGCCCCATAAAATATAGTTGTCATTTCTCACATTGCAATCTAAATGGAATCACAAAAGAAAATCGATACCAAGAATGTCTTTCTAATCATTTGTACAACTTTTAACTACAAAGCCACTTAACCAATTAAAAAAAGCGTCCAGCAATGAAGCCAATTTCAGTCATGGGCCAATCGTCTGGAGAACTACACACTGCTTCAGTGCTTCGAATGCGACGCATTATGAAGTTCATGGGAATGTTGCCCATGTGGGAAAACATTTTCGCGAAAGTGCTTTGCAATTTAGGATTGCTTATTGTAGTGGGCGTATCAGCATATTGGCGCTTCAGTTTTGAATATGAGTTCGACTACGATTTCCTGAACGATCATTTTTCCAGCACCCTTGATCTTGCAAACTTTGTGGCGCTGGTGGGAACTCATCTGATCATTGTACTGGAGCTTTTGTGGTCAAATTGCAGCAAGGATGTCGAAAAACAGCTGCAGGATATACACATCGAAATGCATGTCTACCTGGGCACTCCAATGAGCACGGACAGAGTTCGTCGCTACTGCAACGGCATTTATGGTTCATTAGTAATCCGATGGTCATTCTTCTTATTGGTCACGTTGCTCAATAATCGCGCTCTTGTTAAATATGCCTTCTATTCGGAATTAGTTTTGCTGGCTCGTTTTTCCGAGTTTTCTCTATACTGTGCTGTGATTTTATTCCTATACGAGGAACTTATCGTTGGAGCTGCCAATGTTCTCGACGAGTTGCAAAGAACCAGATTCGAGATATGGACCATACGCCGCTTGTCACGAGAGAAGTTGGCCAAAATTCAGAGAATCCATGGCTCATTATGGCAAGCCATTCGCTGTGTGGAGCGTTACTTTCGATTCAGCCTGATCAGCTTGCTCTTGAAGTTTTTTATAGACACTTCGGCATTACCATACTGGTTTTACCTCAGCAAAGTGGAGAAAACAGAAGGGTTAATTCAACATTGTTAGTAAAAACTTTACCTAATACATTTACGTATCTGAAAAGGTTTTTTGCAGATGTCGCTGCAGATGAGTTGATCAAAATTTTGGAAATTGTTTTGCCATGTTATATTTGCACACTTTGCGTTGCAAGGCAGAAAAAGTTGCGATCGATGTTCTACACAATCACCACAGATCGTCGAAATGGCCAACTAAACTCGGAAATTAGACGTCTAAATTTGCAGTTGAGTCAGGAGAGATTTTATTTCAGTGCAGGAGGAATGATGGAAATCACAAACGAGATGTTGGGCAAGGTAAGCAAAGTTACTTCATGGAATAGAAAAATAAAATTTTCCTTCTCATTGTAGTTCCTGTTCGGAATGGTTAGCTACATTCTGATCTGCATTCAGTTCAGCATCAACTTCAGAGCCAGAAACCCCAGCAATTCAACACAAGCTACCACTCCCAATGCCCAAATTTAAGTGACCTCTCGAATCGATAATGTTTGGACAGTCCAGTCGCGTGCTTATTAAATTAAAGTCAATTAACCTAATTAGCAAATTTGATGTCTGCCCGTGCATAATCAAAAAAGGACAACGGGCAATCAAAGCAGCAGCAAGCAACAGCAGCTGGCAGAAAGACTCCTTCACATAATTATTCATGCTTAAAAATTCTATTATAAACTTTTGCCAACGGCCACTGACCGTTTTTTTTTCCAGGACTAAGGACGAGGTTCATGGGGATACTTGAGCCCGTGCTTTGGGTTTGTTTGCCACGCATGGCCAATCTGTCAGGGGTCCATGCGTGGTGGAGTGTGTGTATAATCTACACTTTAAAAAACATTTATCTTACCTATTAAGGCACGAAAAATTCGTCTTAAGAATTTAATCACAAACCATTTAGTTAACCACCTTCGTTTTCGCTACTGGCTTATCACCGGTACGATCGAAAATCAATGATAATGAATCCTCTACAAGAAATTGTAGAGGCTCTAATTTTATTAATTTTATTAAACAATTTGTCATCAAAAGCTTATGTGTTTTTCTCATTTAACAAAAGAGAAACCATTCCAGTGTAGCTGGGTATTTCCAGGATATAAACATTCTGGAGCGCAAGGATGTGTGCATGCCTGAAGTTTGCCCCTCCGGCAATTGTTGCCACGCACAGATTCGTGGGCAAGTGAGCATGCATAATGCTCCTACTTTCTCCATATATCCGCACGAGTAGATACTGGCTCTGGGCCTAGGCCAATCTCCAACGGCTGATGATAAATCGAATTGAATCGAGTGGAGGTGGGCGGAGGACAGCATCAGTCGAACCGAATCGTGTCTCAGGTCATGCGGCAAATCTCAAACTTCTAGGGTACTTCATTAATCAAGATACATTTTTCATTTGGGCCTGCTTTAAAATTCCACAAAAGAAAATCCTGAAGTGCCCCCACGGCCGAGTGGAAGGATCCAATAAACTGCAACTGTTTGCTGTCATATGCGACACGACAATGCTTCCAACGAAAGCTATCTGACACTTGACACATTGGATATCAAGCAAATTTCTGAAAGGCTGTAAGATTTTCTTTTATTGAAACTGCTTTTAGGTGCACGCTTAGAAAATAATCGTATTTATCTGGCATTGCCAGTTTGTTAATAAAAGGAGATAGATATAATATGCAATTCGTTTCATAAAAGGGATTTTTTTTAATAGTTGAAAATTTACAAATAGAAATTCAACCATTTATATTTATCTGACTCTCCGAAGAAAAACTCTTTTTCCTTCCACTGCATTTTCAGTGTCACTGCTATCCAGGGTGTAAAGTCACTTAGGATTTTCATTTCACCCATCGACGAAGGTTTAAAGAAGCCGGTTGCAGCTGCAATGGCTTAGGGCCACCTGGAAACGTTTTTGCTCGCCAACTCACTTAGGTATTTTGCCCTCTCGAAGTCAGCTTATGTGTTGACACTAATTAATGCTCGAGAATTTGCCCAAGACCCCTCGGATCGGGACGGAATTCGAATGGCAAATGGTCGTGTGCGGTTGCCGCAACACTTTGCCCGACCCAGTGGCAAATAATAAAAGGCAACTCATAATCGTCTCATAAAAATCAGATGTGCTCACGCACATTAATGCATATAGACGCCAATGGCAGTATCCCATTGCTGTGAGTTCTTTGACATAGACAATGGCGAGGATGGCAGTCCTATTAGCACGTTTATGCGGGGTAATATTATGAATTACTATTATTACAAACTAAAAAATTAGAGATTTTTCTTGAACTTCCTTTTTAGTTCTTTGTAGATTATCTTAATATTGTATATCTTATAATCTCTTCTGGCATCGATATTATTTCTTTTTCGGAAATTAGCTCCGCATAAACGCAGCTTGTATGTGATTTTTGGCAGTGACAGACTTGAGAGCGGAGCACAACCGAAACACACACTTTCGCACACTTGCCGGGGGACTTTTATAGCGACACGTAGTCAGGCACGTTTTGAAGTGCAGGAAGCTCTATCATAGACAGAAACGAGCGCCTCTGTGTGCGTGTGTATAGTTATTACTTTTATGAAGCATGTGATTACATTTTATTTTTAATGCTTTTAGTAAAATGAGGTTAGTACACACTTGGTTAGCGACAAATTACATTCATTTTTTTTCTCTCTTTTTTTTTTTTGTTTTGGCATCTACTGCCTTCGCAGGACGAAAATATTCGCTGCTTTTTGGCTTCGTTTCTCTTCGCTCTAAGCCAGCGACAATATTTGCAATCGCTAATTGTTGTTGTCTTTGGATGGGAGGGAGAATGGCAAAGCCATCAAGCATTGCCTGCATTAAACATGTGCACAATTAACTTCCGCTTCCGGTTATGATTGAACCCGGCCATATTTGAGCCGGGCACGGACACATGGCCGATAAGCCGGCCAATAAACACACATCTGCACACACACACTCACTTGCAGCCATGTGCGATGGCTGCAGTTAACTGTTTGCATATTAACGACAAATAACCCACTATCTCGCAACCTTGCAGCATTATGCATCGATGGACGGGCACGCTGAGTGAGCGATAAGCACTAGATAATATTCAGGTCCTGCGATTGCATACGATATCGTTATGGCTTGCCTGGTCGAGCTTTAATTTAAAGCAGCAATAACATCATTTGATGGCCGCCGGCATTGTTTGCACACTGGATTTGATTTGATGGGAACTGAGTTGGGGTCGAAGGACGAAGGGTCAGCGGGTCAGAGGGTCTTTGGTTGCACTCGAGGGCCACGACAGCTGCTAGCCGTTTGCAAAACCATTTGAGCCAAAACCATCAAAGGCCGCGGTGCCCGAAATGTTAATTAACTAGATGTACATGCTAAGCACTAAGGTTAAAATATAGTAACATAAAGTGATATGATTTCAATTTAAAATAAAGAATATTTCATGTTGAATAAGTTTATTATGCGTATGTGAAAACTTTAAGTTGAAATCGATATTAGTTTTATTTACTTTGAAAAAATGGTGCCATTTATAACAAGTATTATTAGAAAAAATGGTGCTTTTTTAATGCGAATGACATTAGCAGATCACGATAAAAGTCATTAAAACGCAGCCAAAAAACTAACCATTGATAATGGTATCGATGCACAACAAAAAAAACTAATTAAAATTCAACAGATGGTCAAGTGCATATTAGTTTAGCCTGCGGCCGACGCACCACAATCCCTATTTACCCAACGCACACAAAAAAAGCATTAAGCAAACTTTTCATAATCAGTTGATTCGTTGAATAAGCAGTAATTAAAACAATAATCTAGCCAATGCCCCGAGCGAAACTGACTGAACCAGGTCAACCATCGAATTGGCTGAAGTGATTTGGCATATTTATGGATGTATATGTAAAATCGAGAGTGCTTCGCAGGCAGCTGCCATTTTACTTTGAGCTTTGCTGCCTGTGCCGACCCTAGAAAAGTCTTCTGATCGGAAGGCCAGTTTCCTGCCTCCCTCATTGGACTCCTGCCAACCGAACTACTGGCTGGAAATAATAAACAAATCGAGCAAAGCAAAATGTTGACCAATATTTCAGTTAGGTTCCTCGAAAAGGGGCCTCCTTTTTGCCTTCCCTCCCGATTGCCATAAATTATGAGGCGAATGGGCGGGTCGGTCCAGCACCTGATTTGTTTATTTGCGGCACACATTTTTCACATTTTCCGTCTGTCGACATCGCAAATTCCGATGTCGATGGCGCCACATGAACAGTTTTTAAATCGCTGTGACTGTCTGTGATGTGTGGACACCCGAAAAGCTGACAAAATGCTGCGGCAAATCCCAATCCAAAAGCCGATCCATTCACATGTGATAGTGTTTGCCCGGCACAAACAGACATGCAAAACATTTAATTGCTGTGCAAATGTTTGCCTAACAGTGCTTAAAAACGTCTCAGCAAAAGACACAGCACGTACTTAATTATTTGCTGGGAAAACAAAGGCATGAAAGAGGATTTTCCCTATTGCATTCGATGTTGCAGCAACATGCTGCCAGCCAAACTAGCCATTGATGTGTCCATTTTATCGGCATGTGTCAGTCTCGATGTGGATCAAAATACTCCGGGGATTGAGTGGGTAAGAAGCTTTATGGAAAGGACCTTCGTGTCATTGTTTTTCCCAGCTTTGTTCAACACCCGGAGGTGTTTGGCCCACCTGCAGCAAGTTGTCACCCCTGAAACTGCATTTCGGAAGCAAATCGTTAACTGATCTCTGTACCGGAGTGCCGTAAATTTCAGAGCCTGCCAACTTTCCAACTGCCACGCCCACAGAAGTGTGTGTGGGTGCGGAAGTTATGCCCAGCGCAATGTGAAATTTTCGCACCATTTTTTTCATTCTCCTTCGAGGTTGGCTGGCCAAGAACCATTAGCATTAGCACCACTAAATAGAAAATTTGGCTCGAGTCCAGACTGCACCCACTGCCAAAATGCTTTAAAAATGCACTTAAGAGTCGATTTTTTTTCAAGCACTTCTATTCAATGGGTTTTCCATTTAATTTCAATGTTTCGATTGGCCAAAGCCAGAACTATTAATTTATTTGCCCACACAATTTGTTTATGTATGTATATTTATCGAAGTTTTTTACTCAATTTCCAATCAAATCGCATATTTGCACTCAGAGATGCAGAGATAAAGTTGGACATACGTATCTCTTGTTTGCCTGCGCAACACTCTTGTGTAATTGAAAACAGATTTCTGCAACTTGAAGTTGTGGCTTGAAATTGTCTTTGCCTTGACTTGGCTTTCATTTAAATAAATTACTCGAAATTCTTTGATACTAATTAAAAAAGGCTTTTGAAAAGATTAAGGATTTCTGCATTGCGAGCTGTGTGTAAATGAAACCACTCAAAGCCAAAAGCCAAGAACGGAATAATTTGCCAAACATTGAATGGCTTGTATCGAGATAAGAGCTGGGCATATCAGCATAATCTCGATCCTTTTTTTCTTGCTTGGTTTCGAGAGG